TTTTTTCAGAATTGTGAGATGTAAACTCACAATTGTGAGATATAAACTCCAAATTGTGAAAAAAAGTCTGAAGGGTGACATAAGAAGTCACAATTACATTTTTACATAGTTTTATTCCGTGATGGAAACAGTCTTCCACATCTAGAGATATTTTGAAGCTTAATTCGCTGTCAGAGGCCCACAGTTCATTTCATCTGAATAAACAGTGAATATGAGCAAAATAAATAATAAAAAAATATGACATGAACATAATAATGAGAATACAGTTTCAAGGCAAATATCCGGTATCAAAACTTGTTTCCAAAAGAATAAACAAATCAGCAGGTGTTTACAGAATCAAGAACACTGAAGTAAATCATGAGCCTCAAACATCATTCTCTAATGTACACAGCTGTAGAAATGGTGCTTACGCTCACGTTACAACACTCCTAAAATGTTCTAGTGTTCCAAGGAGGAAGTGATGTCATCGCAATCAAAACCCAGTGACACTGACGATTCAGAAACCCTCAGCTTTGACTTAAAATAAAATACAAAACTTCAAGAAAAGAAAAAAACACAAAAGCATTCACGAACGTGAATATAAACGTCATTGTAGTATTAATGCTTCAAAGACACAATAACAATACTCCTCATAAATAATTGTATAGCTTTCTTCTCTTAAAATCTGTGAATATATTAATTATTAATCACCTTTTCTCCCTCTTGTTCTATTGTCTGTACTGATGTAGTAGTATAATGACTGAATGTATAAAATCGTATCAGCACAAATGAATGGCTGCACCCTATACGAAAATAAAAAAATAAACTTTTTTTTTTGAATGATAAATAATAGTTTATGCTAAGCATGTACAAATGATGATACAGGAAACATGAGGTATTAAATCCAAAATCATATACATTTCACTCAAGTTTTAGCACAATGTCAAAAATAATTAATTTAAATAATATATAATTACTGTTTTCACATCAGAGATTTTTTTGCATTGTAGTTTTGAAAATATGGGAAATAAATGTAATTTAATTGTCATGAAAATAATGCAAAAAATCGCAATGGTCCTAAAAATACGGCTCATTTTCTTTAGTGAATTCACTTTCTGATTATTTTGTGGTGAAATATGCCAGACATGAGACACTGACGACACACGTGTGTAACAGCTCGTTCCCTGCACCCTCGACCTCCTAGTGGACCAAACTCGCTGCTATCTCTGAAGATGCTCATGTAAACGTCAACAGAACTCACAGAAGGGTAGGACAGCGTAAAACTAGATTCGCTCAGTACTGAACCTGGAATAGATACAGAAAAATCAGTCAAAATGACCAGGGAGCGAAGTCAAAAATAACCCAAACCCCGCCCCCACCGAGATGCCCCACCCTAATCACATAACCCCGCCCCTCACCCTAACCCCGCCCCCTACACTCTGTCCTACGATCTATTCTGATTATATTAACAACACGCTGGACGAAGCTAAGCTACCGACGCAAAGTCTCTAGTGTTCGCTAGCTATCTGGTTTTTAAAACATGACAGAATTTAAAAAATGGCCTTTTTTGCTTTGCTTTGAATCGTAGCTTTATCAGACATGATTGCACATTTCCTGGCTGCTTCTGCAGGAAGATCAAAACATGCTCTTGGATGCGTTTAGCGCCGTGATGAAGCAGGTGAAGCAGTTTCTGTCGCGTCTTAAAGGCTCATGGCACGTCAGGTGCCCAAGAGGACCCACAAACCATGACATCATTGAGTCTGATGCCCTGAGAGTTTAAAAAGATCTGTGGCCTTTCAGGTTTTGCACCTGCATGCATTTCCAATGCTCGCTAAATCTCGTTTCCGCTTGCTATTTAGTGACATCTCACCCTGTCCAAAAAAACAAAAAAAAACTAAATGAGGAGCATTAATTTTTTTCCCTGTCTAAAAAGGTTCCTTTCATTATTTCTTGACTTGTAGTCAATTACATTTGACTTCCTTTTCTTGACAATCACAGCTATTTTCGGGGAGAGTCGAGCCCGAGGGCATCCGCTCTTCACTCCCGCGGCCCCTTAACGAACCCCGAAGAGCCGCTTAACGAAGCAAGTCGGATCCGGAATAGAGATGAGCTCGATTGCAAATGAACGGATCGACGAACAGACAAAGAGCTGCACACCTGACAGAAATACAATTCAATACAGATCAACTGGCGCTCATAGATTTTGTGTTCTTCACAACTACATTCACCACAAAAAAAGACATTTCTTACTTAGTATTTTTTTTGTTTTCCTTTATATCTAAACATTCTTTAATCAAGACACATTTATTTGAGAAGCATGATGACCAATAAGTTTTGCTTTCTAAAAAAATTACTTAGCAAAATTACTTAAATTAAATCTTGTTTTCTGAAAAATGTATTTAAGTTTTTGCTTAAAACTAAAAAAAAAAAAAAAAATGTTTTTGCCAAAAATGCCAATGGGGTCAGAAAAATAATCTTAATTCAAAGGGAAAACTAGATTATTATTTTTTTATTTAACCAAAAACTCAATTTTGATACTTTTTTCCCCCAGAAAAACTTAATATCAAGTCATTTTGCGTCTCAAGTAAATGTATCTTGATTTAAGAATGTTCAGATATTTGTGCTGGAAAACAAATATACAAAGTAACAAAAAAAATCCTAAGTAAAATCTTTTTTTGCAGTGCAGTACAAATGTCTAAACATTCTTAAATCGAGATCAATTTATCGAGAAGCAAAAGCATATTAAGATATTGTGTATCAATTTGAATGAGTTTTTGCTTAAAACAAGAAAAATATCTGCCAACGAGGCAAGAAACATCTTGTTTGCTTTTAAATGAAGTTTATTTTCCTTGTTTTAAGCAAAAACAAACTAAATTGATACTTTTATTTTCAGAATATAGTCATTTTGCTTCTCAAGTAAATGTATCTTTTCAGATATTTGTGCTGGAAAGCAACACAAAAATACAGAGGAAGAACATCAGTTTTATTTTGCAGTGTTGGCACTGAGACCGAGAAAATAAACGCTCTCTCTCTCTCTCTCTCTCTCTCGTTTATTTCTGCTATTTCTGATTGTGTGGCGCTTACACACTCGAGCGTACGGATGTGGAAAACTTTCACGAACCCTTTATCCTCCACTGAACTCCCTCGAAATGTAAGTGAAGGTGAATCCTGACGTGAGCTGAAACAAGAGGAACAGACGACGCATGATTTACCGCTGATAAATTTAGCATGATCTCCTGCTCTGGTGTGGCTACAGATATATGGCACTTTAACCCAGACGCCTGGCAGGGGTTCTGGCCTCATTTCTACAGACCAAACCTCACTGAAAACAGCAGCTATTCTAGAAAATACTAGACAGTACAATGGATGAAGTGTACTGCAAAATACTGTGCTTCAGCAAACGATTTCAGTGCTTCAGAATCATCCGTGTGCTTTGCTGATGTGTCTGTTTTTCCAATACGTGTAGGTGTTTTATCAAAATAAAAATCGTGGATATATGAATAAAGATGAGCATAATAATGGATGCTAAAGAGAAATAAACACTTGAGAAATTACATTTGGCACTTCTCGGGTTATTCTAACTGACTACAACGGCAACTATAAAAAAATGGTTACTTGAAATAAAATAAATGAAGTAATAAAATACAATGCAAAAAATATTTTCTTAGTAGTTTTGTCTTGTTTGCTATTGTAAATATGTAAACATCCTTAAAATCAAGATACATTTAATTGAGAAGCATAATGACATAAGATATTAGGTTTTGTTTTCTAGTAAAAAAATATTAAAATTAGGCAACGTTTTGCTTAAAATTTGAAAAAATATCTGCCAATGGGGCAAGAAAAATAATATAACCTTTGAATTTAGTTTATTTTTCTGACCCCACTGGCAGATTTTTGCAAAAACAAACACATTTTTGATATTTTTTTGATAAAACAACACTTAATATCTTAAGTCATTTTGCAAATCAAGTAAATGTATCTTGATTTAAGAATGTTTAGATATTTGTGCTGGAAAACCAAAATACTGAGTATAAAAAAAAATATTTTTTGCAGTGCAACTCAAAATAAAAACGACACAACAAATCTTAACTAAAACGAAAATGAAAACAAGACACTAAATATTAACAAAATTGATAATAGTATATGAATGATAGTAAAATAACACTGGCACTACTTAAAACTCTTCTTACAAACTAATCTGAAGGTTTCGCTTCAGTTTCATGATGAGTTTCTGAGACGGGAATTTTGGCGTATATTCATACAAAATGATAATGCGGATAGAAAGACCCTCACATGAAACACATTGGCAGGTTTTAACTACAACTAGTGCAAACTGTTATTGATTAAGAAACGTTTTCCAGCATGCAGCTTCATCTGTGCAGGATGGAGCAAATAAAAAAATCTGAATAATGCAGGAAAATGATTGTAGGGAGACTGAAGTTATTTGATGAAGCATGCATGGGCAGGCCGTTACCTCATCAGTATCTGTGCATTCACAGCGTTCAAGCGCAGGCAGCATGGCAGAATTGCATGGGTTTGGTACAGATATATGGCACTTTAACCCAGACGCCTGGCAGGGGTTCTGGCCTCATTTCTACAGACCAAACCTCACTGAAAACAGCAGCTATTCTAGAAAATACTAGACAGTACAATGGATGAAGTGTACTGCAAAATACTGTGCTTCAGCAAACGATTTCAGTGCTTCAGAATCATCCGTGTGCTTTGCTGATGTGTCTGTTTTTCCAATACGTGTAGGTGTTTTATCAAAATAAAAATCGTGGATATATGAATAAAGATGAGCATAATAATGGATGCTAAAGAGAAATAAACACTTGAGAAATTACATTTGGCACTTCTCGGGGTTATTCTAACTGACTACAACGGCAACTATAAAAAAATGGTTACTTGAAATAAAATAAATGAAGTAATAAAATACAATGCAAAAAATATTTTCTTAGTAGTTTTGTCTTGTTTGCTATTGTAAATATGTAAACATCCTTAAAATCAAGATACATTTAATTGAGAAGCATAATGACATAAGATATTAGGTTTTGTTTTCTAGTAAAAAAATATTAAAATTAGGCAACGTTTTGCTTAAAATTTGAAAAAAATATCTGCCAATGGGGCAAGAAAAATAATATAACCTTTGAATTTAGTTTATTTTTCTGACCCCACTGGCAGATTTTTGCAAAAACAAACACATTTTTTGATAAAACAACACTTAATATCTTAAGTCATTTTGCAAATCAAGTAAATGTATCTTGATTTAAGAATGTTTAGATATTTGTGCTGGAAAACCAAAATACTGAGTATAAAAAAAAATATTTTTTGCAGTGCAACTCAAAATAAAAACGACACAACAAATCTTAACTAAAACGAAAATGAAAACAAGACACTAAATATTAACAAAATTGATAATAGTATATGAATGATAGTAAAATAACACTGGCACTACTTAAAACTCTTCTTACAAACTAATCTGAAGGTTTCGCTTCAGTTTCATGATGAGTTTCTGAGACGGGAATTTTGGCGTATATTCATACAAAATGATAATGCGGATAGAAAGACCCTCACATGAAACACATTGGCAGGTTTTAACTACAACTAGTGCAAACTGTTATTGATTAAGAAACGTTTTCCAGCATGCAGCTTCATCTGTGCAGGATGGAGCAAATAAAAAAATCTGAATAATGCAGGAAAATGATTGTAGGGAGACTGAAGTTATTTGATGAAGCATGCATGGGCAGGCCGTTACCTCATCAGTATCTGTGCATTCACAGCGTTCAAGCGCAGGCAGCATGGCAGAATTGCATGGGTTTGGGTCCTTTGGGATCCTGGAGGGAGTGTCTTTTTTAAAGGATAAAAGCAACGTCTCATATGCTGGCATGAAGGTTTAGAGGTCAGGTTTGGTCGTTGACACCCAGATTTCACTCCTCGATCTTATTCGATGACTAGATAAAGACCTGCCCATTGAGAGATGCTCACTATTTCTGATTTATGAATGTCTACTGTACACACAGACGAGGAACAGACCTGCAATCTATTACAAAGATGGCAATGAATCTCTGGAGGTGAGCAATTGTTTTTAAGGCCTGATCATGAAATGATAACCACACAAAAACACCTGAAACGGATGCCGTATTTCTAAACGTATATGATAATTGTTGAGCTTCATCATACAGTAAGCTAGCCATGTTAGGCTTGTGTTTTAATAGTTAATAGTCTGGTCCAGATTTGAAGATTAAGTTCATCCAGAACAGATGCATGAAATCTCAATATATAATGTTGTATGATCTGGGCAGAGT